AAACCAGTACGACTCCTTGAGCGTGCTCTTCCCGGTGCGGGGTTTGACTAGCTCGATTCTAGGCTGGTGTCTGACGGGACAAACAAAGGAATGGATTCACCCTGCACGAATTGGTTTTTATGGGTGAACCCTGGCCCGCCTTTGGCTATGACTATCGAGAGGATTGCGGTGCAAGCATGAGCAACCGAATAAGTGTTTAAAGTCGTAAAACACTACAAGATTTTGCTGAGTCTTTCTTCGGTCCCTCAGCATCTCTCTTTCCCAATTTTGCTTTGTCATGGCTTTCAGCCATGCATCAGGACATGGTGAGGCACTCACAATGCATGCATGCATGCACTCACAGCCCGTTCGAGCTCATGTAGCGAACTTGCAGTGGCCATGGGTAGGAGGTAAATATCACTCATGGCTCGTTCCACAGCCCGTTCCAGCTCATGGCTCGAACTTGAACTCCTTGGCTCAACCCAACCTTCTTCAGCCCGACAGATATCTTTAGACTGGACTCAGTCACGCTGGGTGACAATAATTTCCACCACAACTCCAGTACCCATGCTCACCTGAATTAGCCTCATAGGATATGCGGCCCCTACCTCACTCCATGTTCCAACTCCCTCCCTGATTGTCCTACCTTCAACCAATTCTGTGTTCATTCCTTTATTTTTTCATTTTTGTACATGTGAAACCTCTTCCATGTATGCACCACTACAAATGTTGTTAGGAATGCTTTCACTGTGTCTATTCCGTCTGTTATCTGTCGATTCCATCCATTATAGTGATGTCAGCGCGAACAACCTCACTGGCCAACTCCCTCCAACAATGGGCAATATCACTCATCTCTTAGACCTGTAAGGCAGTTTAGAATGTTCAAGTGATGCAATGTCTACCATAGCAACCCTGAAGTGTTTCACAAATAGGGGATATACAAGGTAACAAGGTGTTCTAGTGGTGTGTTGTCGCTCAACTGACGTTTGATTGCAGCCACGGGTTGGAATTGACTTGGACTGGCCCGGCCCAAACCTCCAACAAAATACGAACGCATGATATATCAGTAGTTCCAGCCTCTACAGAATCTTGGCTTAGTAGAGTATTGCAATGTGCTACCATACATCTCCAACAGCAACCTCAATACGTTTCACTTGGAGCTGAGAACGCTTCATGTGCACATGCAGGAAGATATATGGGACTGCAATCACATGCCCTCCTACCTACAGCAGCTGCGTGGTCCCACAGATCCCTTCAAGTGCTTTCTGCAGGCAGCAGTGTCGTACCTTCTGCCCCACATGTGACAAGCCACGACCAGGTGAGACGCTCCTTATGCAGGTGGCTACTACTTTACTTGCTCTCATTGTAGTGAGTGGATGAACACTGATTGCCACTGATTACTAAACAAGGTTTCCAGTATCAGGCATGCACAGCCTAGATTCTCCGAAAATGTAGTGTACTGTTGCGCTTCTGCTGCACGCCTCCTCATGGCTTTTATTGGATCATACCTGTTTCAACCTTTCAATGCCTTCCTTTACTTCCCCTCTCTGATCCCACATCCCCATCATCCTACCCCATACTTGTACCCTCCCCATCACCAGCACCACCACCCTCCCAATCAACAGCGCCAGCACCCTCCCCGATGCCAATGCCAGCACCCCCTCCACCTCCTCCCACTGCAGCTCCTAGTGCGCCCTCCGCCTTTCCCTCCAACAAAGCAGCAGTTTATCGTGCAAAGCCATGGCTGGCATTGCTGCTGCTGGCGCTGTGGCTGTCCTCGTGCTGCTGCTGCTGCTGCTTTTGAGCTGACTGCTGTGCCAGCAATGTTAGAACTTGCCGGCAGCAGGAGGGGATGCTGGCACTGATGGCGATGGCAATGTGGAGTGGGCTAAAGCTCGGTGTGACACTTACCACAGTATACTCCAATTATTTCGACTTGGAGCAAGTTACACTTCAAGATTCGGTTTCGGTTCATCTTGTAGGACCTACCTGTATTGAACACACCCTAATTGTTATAGAAGCTGGGGTTAGTTTTGACACACGCTGGGGGCAGCCTGGTCCAGTTCAGACCAGGCCCAACAACATAAACTGGTTGTGTGACTCTGGTGTGCAATTCTGGGAATCAACACAATCACAATGTGGTATGTGGATTGCAAAAGATGAGAAGCGCGGGGTCTGCAGCTACTGACGGGAAAGTCACTTTTGGGTGGCACTTAGGTGACCATAACCCAAGACGGAACTGATGTCTCACATGTTGCATTTTGGGGTCGCTGTTTTCTGAAAGCATCGCGCAAACCTTCTCGCATATTCTTGGCAGAAAACACTCCGGACCCCGTTTTTGGCTGTCAGCCTTCTCCACGGTGCCGTTGTTATTGTGGTGTGTGAGCCTACACGAACCCTTGGTGGACTGCATCCTACTACTATCAGGGCAGCAAGGAAATACAGGAGAATTGCTGGTGAGGGTGAGGGGGCGTTGGAATACATATATTTTCCTCTCAACAGTTACCAACCTTGGGATATGCGGCAAATGGGACACAGCGACTAGAGTGACCACGGCGTTCTGTGCCATCCATTGCCTTCGTCGTGCAGCGAGATTCCAGGAAACCCAAGCTGGATGGTAGTTCCTATTGCTTGTGTAACTGTGAGCAACTAGTAGCAGCAGTGATCTATCACCGAGGGCCAACCCATTGGCGGAATCCGCAAGGAGGGCTGGCCATTTCAGCCAGCGCTGGGCGGCGGCTCTCCAATGCTCCCAGGCAAACGATTTGCACACCAAAGCCCGGCCAGGATCGAGGCGGCACACCCTCAGATGCAGGCGGACCCATGGCCACTGCACCTGGGGGATGTCCTACACACGCCTGGAGGGGTAGTGGGCTGCTAAGGGATAACAGGGTTACAAGTGTTGACGTTTCTGTAATTACTTATCAACCTGCATGGAAATACCCCCCATAGCATCAACACAGAGGCTTGTTCTAGAGAGAGATAGACAGGTTAAAGAACCCGCTGCCACCATAACAGTGGAAACATGCAACAAGACAGCCAAAGGAAATGATGAGCCTATCAGCTCAGCTACGTAGGAGAAAAGGGGCGTCTAATATGAAAACAAGATATACATGCGTCTTACAAAACCCGTGCTGTTATGATGTTCATTCTAGCAATTTCCAAGGGATTTGTAAAAAGTCCCTCGGGTCATATATTCTGGTACATAGGCAGGTCATAGAAACACAAATGGAAATAGAAATAGAAATAGAAATAGAAATATGGTACATTGGCACAGATGAGACTAGGCAGGTTGTAGACAGTGGAAGGCACACTGGAATGGCTGCGATGTAGGCAAATATCACCCCATAGCACGAAATGGACATAGATTGAAGCAAAAATCAACACATTCACCTAGCGTGGCACACATATGAACTTTGACCCAACATTCTTGGCACATGCATTGCCGTTGTAGAGAGAAAAATCAGCAGCTGCTTGGCTTGGAGTGCCGCCATAGTAGCTGTAAGCACCGGAACAGGTCAGCGATGGCGACACGCTCTTGGAGCGGCCCTTATTGCATCTGCCAAGCTCAAACGGCCAATATTCCGCTTTCAGGCACACCTGGTAGTGCAGGAAAGGAAGAGGGGATCGGGCAGAGGGGGATATGCATGGAGGACAAGATAGGAGTTAGTTGGTAATAGTGCAACTAGACCAGGTAGTAGAATGGTGATACATTGTGGGTGCAGAAACGCATAACATAAGTGAACAGTGTGGTGAAAAAACTCCATAGCCGTCCAATTATTCTCTCAATTTAACGTCTCTCCTACCCAAACCTGTTCCTGACCCACTTCCACCCCTCACCTGCACGCCGGCGTTGCTGCCAATGGCTGAGGCAGACGAGGGGACGATGTTGGAGCAGAGAAGACCGGGATTGTTGCGGTAGAGCTCAGCCCAGATAGACGGATCGTTCTGCAATCCTTGCCCCTGCAGCATTTTCTCACACGTGTCGTCTGCTGTGAGAATGGTGTATTTCACACACTCAGGGACGCTGTAGGCATAGGTTTCATTGCGCTCCACACAGATAGAACGGCCAGCCATAATGGTTTGCACGCAGTCAAGGCCAGGGTTGAGATTCAGGAGATCAGTCACAGTGGTGCGAAGAGAGGTGGCAGTGGAGAGGCACGTGTCGCCCTGGAGGATGAAGGGAGCATGGAAGCAAACACATCATAATTAGTGACGATGAAGGGTGATGCAGGAAGCGAGGAGTAGGAGGACTTATTGCAACGAAAAAGCTTCATGGGACATCAAAAGGGCCTCCCGCACTCACACTGAGAGTGAAGAAGTAGGCAGTGCAGGGGATGGCAGGAGCATTGATGATCCGAAGCACTCTCCCTTTTGGCAAGGCTTTGGTGCACACGAGTGACTGCTTAGCACAAACATAGGGGGCATCGAGAGGCACACAATTTAAGGACACTAAGAAGCACACACATGAGGTTTGTGAGCCACTTGCAGCCTATCTCTCCCATAACCTTGTGCCCTTCCTGCAAGCCACTTAATTTGATGCCTGCACCTCCCACTCCCTCCTGTGCTTGCCATGTGTACAATTGGAGCATAGAAGCATGTCAGTCGGCAAGCGAGTTGTTCCTATCTTGTCCTTCCCTTTTCCCCGTGCCCTTGTCATGCATACCATGATTTTCCCCGAGTCTGATTAGTCTCTCCTTACTGGATTCTGCGATGTGAACTGCGATTGGGTGAGGCCCACGAGAGGGTAGATGTCAGAGCACCACCAGTTGTCACCTTTCACAGCCATGCTGACGGTGCTGGTGTTAGTTGGAAGACGGAGAGAGTGACGGAGGGAGAGCGGAGGAGTTTGGGCTAAAATTGCTAAACAAAACAGCACTGAAGAAGCACGGATGAGAGTGAGGGAGTAGGGTGTGATTACCAACTCTATCGTGCACTCATCAAGCTATATTGCTTCTAGAGGTGCTTCAAAGGTCAACTGTTGACATTGCGCTGAACGAGCTAGATAGTGAGAGTATTGTTCACGAAAAGGTAGAAGGGGTATAGCCATTGGAGAAACAAGGAGACGGAGGAAGGTGGGGGTGAAGTGCAGCAGCACCTGGATCACAGGTGGGGAAGTTGTCAAAGGTTGTGCTGGAGACGTAGTTGAGTGGACAGATGCATGAGTAGGAGCCCTTGCCATCGTTGATGCATGTGCCCACAGCACAAGGGTTCTTGAAGTACGACCCACACACGTTTACTGACAAAGGCGGAGGAGAGAGATGGAGAGAGAGGTGGAAGGGGATGGAGGCAGGGTTTTTCTTTCGGTAGAGAATGCAGAAAAAGAAGTGGGATGTGCATGAATGCTTCACCACGTCTTTCCTAAAACCACATCCCTTAATGTTAGCTGGTCTTACGTTTAATTGGGCCCTGTTGGTTGTGAACATAAACATATGTCTTGCTCACAGAAAACAACACAAAACATATCTGGCTTGCGGACAATATATGTTATTTGAGGCATGTCTCACCATAGACACAGGTGCTTCCATAGCCATTTGCAGCCTCGATGAAGGGCTGCCTGGTCTGAGCGGGAAGAGTGCAGGTGCAGGTGTTGTTGTTGGTCTTGGGGAAGGGTGTGCACGTGAAGCGACCGCACGGGTTCATGCTGGGCTGCAGGTCTCCATCGCCCTTGTAGCTCTTCAAGCCACACGGGTCCCCTGGAACTGCATGCATGGCACAAGCGTGACAAAAATGTGGGACAGGACCATTAGGGAATGTGCATATGCATCAAGGATTGACCGGTATGAAGATGAAAAGAAACAAAAAGAACAAATAGCACCATATTGCCAGAGACATAGACCAGATAGCTATCTGTCTGTACATGTGGTAATTCAGATAGGTTGCTACTGACTATGTGCACAAGCCTCTGCCTTGACAAGGGGTCAAATGCCATGTGTGTGGGCAAGCTAATGACAATGGTGTAGATGCCTCACTCTTGACAATGGGGTAGATGCCAGGCAGCACGTTGATGCCACACACGCCATCCCCTCCCTGGATGTCCATGCGCATGTGGCCCCTGTCTCCCCATGCCTCGCCCCACGAGTTGCGGATGATCCAAAAAGGCGGTGCAATGCGGTTCTCGCTCCCATCGTTCCTCAACACGAGGTAGCCAATAACGAGTACAACATGATTAAGGTTTCCGGTATAGCAGCCAAGATCCTGATACTTGAAGGTCTGCAGACACAAGGGCAATGAAAAGGCTCAATGCACATAATCTTCGATGTATAATGTGTATAAGCATCACAAATGTAACATGGTAGCCTAGCATACACACGCACAATTGGACGCATGCACGCACACACACGCACCCACACACACACACATGCACGCACGGGTGCGCGCGCGCGCGCGCACACACACACACACACACAGGCATACACGCACGCATGCACACACGCACCCACCCACCCACACACACCCACACCAACACCCTCCCCCTCCCCACACACACGCACGCATGCAAGCACACACCAAGTATACCAAGCACACTGGTGATGACCAGGAAACAGTGAACACTCTCATTTCACACAGAACTTTCCATACCGCAGAATAGAGATCTGACGTGATTCTTCTCAGGCAGCACTCACCCCATCATATTTGGTAAACGAAGCAACAGTAGCATCAACGTGAACCACCACTGGCTGCCGCTGCACGGCCAGCATGAGCCCCACATACCCCTTGAAGGAAGTGCGCTCAAAGCCTTGGACAGGGTACTTGATTTTCTGTATTATTATTTTTTTTCAGGGTTGGGACGAGAGTCGAAGGTCAAACAATAGGGCAGAAGAAGGAGAGAGTGTGTAAGGCTGTGACAAGAGTGTATCGAATTTTTTGATTTAGATGGGCAGTGTTTATGGCCATTATAGCAACCCAGGGTTTGGGAGTAATTCATGTACCCACTTTCACTCTTACCATGCATAGATGACAATCCCCTAATGACAAACTGGTAATATAGCTCTATAGATGTACATCAGCAGCCTTATCTGCTTACCAATGGAACTCTTTCTATGTACCTGGTATTATCATCACCATCATCATTGCTTGCATGGCTTTAAAAAAACCTCACTGTCTCCCACAGCCTTACTAATTCACGCACCTTCATTCCGTCTCACAACCCCTCAGCTTCCATGGCATTTTTTCGTTAAATCAGTATCAACACGAACCTGGTTTCATCATCAACCCAATGGTATTATCACAGAGTGACAATCGTCACCGACCAAGCATCATCATCATCTCTCTGGACACACCTCAATGCCTTCCACACCTCAATGCCTTCCACACCTCAATGCCTTCCACACCTCAATGCCTTCCACACCTCAATGCCTTCCACACCTCAATGCCTTCCACACCTCAATGCCTTCCACACCTCAATGCCTTCCACACCTCAATGCCTTCCACACCTCAATGCCTTCCACACCTCAATGCCTTCCACACCTCAATGCCTTCCACACCTTAATGCCTTTCATACCTTATCGCCTTCCACACCTTATCGCCTTCCATACCTTATCGCCTTTCATACCTTACTCCCTTCCACACCTTATCGCCTTTGATAACTTATTGCCTTCCAGAACTTACTCTCTTCCATACCTTATTGCCTTCCATGGTAATTGCCCCCTTAGGCAGCGCCGTTAGCTTCTCAAAGGCTTCAGTTGGAGAGCCTCCAGCAGTGCACTTGGCTGCCTGGGTGGTGAGATTCATGGCTGTGAAGAGCGAGTCCACTGAGATCACTGGGGCCTCTACATTCATTGCGATGTCGTATGCTGCTTCTATGCTTGACACAACTGCGAATGCCCAGCATGCGTCTGAAGGAGAGGTGGAAAGAGTACACAAGGACCCCTTTTAGTGGGTACAAAGCTGGTGAACAAGAAAAGGCACGAAGGAGAGCAGCAAGAACAGCAGTAAGATTTGGGGTTTAAAAAGAGCACTTGAGAAAAAGAGTCAGAATTGGTGAACAAGAAACAAACGTTGAAATGTTATCATGCTGCACTCCTCACGACAGCACGCCTACCTCAAATATAGTTGCCCCCCCCCCCCCCCCCTGCCCGCTTTGCACTCACTGCAATCTTTCTGGTCCTTGACGGGCCAGCCCAGGAAGGGCACGGAGTCCCAGGAGTGGAGGTCCCTGAAGACCCACGAGTCCTTCTGCCCGGCCGACACTCGGTAGTCTGCACTCACATAGCGCGGGAAGGGGCTCGCCTGTGCAGGCACGAATGTATTGAGCGATACCTCTAAACCGTAAGCTGTAGTGGGAGAATAAGGGATGAGCAGTTGGGGGGGGTGAGGGCAGTGGAATTGGGACGACAGTGTGGGTAGAAAAGGTGAAGGGGGAGAGGAAGTGAAGTGGCTGATGGGAAATGTTCAGAGCAGTAAGGATGTGCAGTCAAACGAAATCACGCGGCTGGTGGCATGCCAGCTCAAGAAGCACAATCAAAGATGCATATTGGCGACTGGTACAGTGATGTGTTCGGGTGCAGATCAACTGTGTGTCAACAAAGGGCGTGCAATGACTTGCCTGGAGTGATGTTGACTGGACCCCGCGCAGGAGGAGCCTCTGTCAAAAGGGAAGCAGTGAATTCAGAAAAGAAGGGAAGGCAGAAGTGAAGGGTTTGAATATATAAAAACCGCATTGGTAGTGCATGAATATGCCAGCCGAGGCATCCATGGCGACAGTGCATAGGTTAAGCCCATGGAGGGCACGTTCAATGCAGTCAACAGAGCTGTCAACGTCCCACCTCTGCAGGGCAGAGCTGAGGTTACGCTACACCCACGCGATCTCTCTTCACAGTAAAAGGAGAGCGGAGGATGGTATGAATCACCTGTGCGCAGGGCTGAGCTGAGGATGGTTTGAATCATGAACGGCTTCACTGTGGTGGACGCCACGAAGCCAAAGTAGAACGCCCGCGGCTGCTCTGGCAAGCCCTCACCCTGCGGTGGTCCCGGCTTCAGCACAGCACAAAGCGACAGCCACCTGTTTAGCACCGGCTTTGCTGGCTTGTTTTGTAGCACGTCAAACTCAATCGCCATGCTTCGCTCGTCCATCCCACCAAACCCCACATCGACACTGCTCCCCACAGTCTTGGTTGCGGACACAACAAAGGCAAAGCCGTTTGAAGCGGCCTTGGCTTTGGGCGAGAGGGCGAAGGTGAAGTTGACACTGAAGGCCAGCTCAAACCCACAGCCCGGATCCTCTCGCCCATTCTCGTACACAAAGAGGGGCACCGGATCAGAAGTGAACATTCCCTTGGCCTCTGCTTTCACTCCTGCCATCAGCACTGTTGATGGTTGGAGAATGGCCTTATCAAGTGGAGAGGCAAGGACCGATTCTGTGAATATGTAGAAAGGGATGGAAACGAAACAAGAAGAGAGGGTGAAATGGCAATGTTAGGGGGTGTGGGAAGTTGATTGAAGATTGGGAAGTGAAGTGGAATTGAAAATGGATGCCTTGCTGACTGCAGGCAACGAGATTATGAAGGGAGATTCCCTGTTTGAGAGCATATAGACGTGCCTTATCTCCACTCACCCATGAATGCAGTTACCTTCTGCAAGACAGTAGGTCCTTCGAAATGTGTAGAACCCCGTTTCACACACGCAGGTAGGCACCAAGTTAGGTCCGTCGGGATAGCACAACACCCCATGGCCGCTGCAACCCCCAGAGGTAGAACCCATTGAGATGCCGCAAAACGTCCGGCATGCTGACGAAGTGCGTTGCACCGGCTCCGTTTCTCCCGAAGCCAGTTTGAAGCAGTTGAAATCGAGCAAGTCTGACGGCTGTCCAGGCAGAGTGTCCGATAGTTGTATGAAAGCACAGCCAGCACGTTAGCTGGCTTCACAAGGCCGCCAGTCAGATAGTTGTGAGAGAGGTCGCTGTGGGGGTGGAGCAAGGGTGGGAGGACAGGGTGGAAGGACAGTGGCAGAGAGCACGTTAGTCATTTCAGAGCACCTAAAGGAGAGGTTGAGACAGACACCATGTGTGGTTGTTGCTAGATACGAGAAATTGAAGATGATGTGTAGGTTGCAGGTCAGGGATGAACTGAGGAATAGCGTTAGCCATTCTTCAGAGCAAGCTAGACGATTGTTGAGTAAGAAGCGTTTGTTTAGAGAGTCAGTTCTGATCAGACAGGTTTGCATAAGAGTGCGTGCAGCCGCATGTATGTGAACAAGCAAGCATGTCTTACTATGTCTTGAGATTTGTGAGCAGCGTGAGTGCGTCTGGTATGCGTCCAAAAAGATTGTTGTTGGCCAGCGATATGCAGGCCATCATGGTGGAGGCATGGTGAAAGCATGGTGGTGAAGGCATGGTGAAGGCATGGTGGAGGCATGGTGGAGGCATGGTGGAGGCATGGTGGAGGCATGGTGGAGGCATGGTGGAGGCATTGTGGATGAATGGCATTTGACAAACACGTGGGTGTGTACACATGGAAGAGAAGAGGTGGGGAGAGGACAGAGAAGAGAGAGGGAAGGGGAAGAGTGGTGGAGAAAAGAGCAGATGAGATGAGGGCAGATAGGAGGAGAAGAAAGAAGAGGAGACGATAGGAAAGGATATACCACTGTTTCAAAGGAGATCAGACAGGAAAGTGGAGTGAAATCGCGTGACAAGTGCAAATTTTCTCCATTACTCTTCGTAAATTTTTGAAAGTGCTTGTGCCCACGGTGGCAGGATTCCGTGACAACAAATGCTGGTAGATTGCAAACAGTATCCATTTCTCTATTGCAGTGTTCCTTTGTGCCTGCTACAGAAGATATGGCCTAAGTACTATTCATAAGCTCTAGTATGTATACGCTAGGCAGGCATGATTAAGAACCAAGATGGGGACCCACCGGTTGAACGGAGCACAGGGTCGCACCAAATAACTACTTGTACAGGTCGGACCAGCTGGGGACCCACCAGGTTATTTGTAACCACACTCGGCACACGAGAGGTATCTCGGTACAGGTCACACCATTTTAGTTCGCACCTATGCGTAGTCCCCAAGCACCCAGAAAATATCAAACAGCCTTCTTGTTATACCAGCCTTCCAGCTGTGGAATGGGGTCCCTTGTAGATTCCTGTTGGCACACAATACCACTGTGCCTGCCCTCCATTACCTGTCTGCCCTCTTTTCCCCTTGCTCCCAGATCACCTGGATGGATGCCAGCACAGGGTGCTGCTGACCCTGGCCATCGGGGGGCACAGTACGGGGTGCCTCTTTCAACTGCAGCAACCCCATCAACCACTCACATGGTTTGGCTCGACGAGCAGCGTCGGATCGGTTAGGTTCAACATGGCTCGGTCAAACTGGTTCAGAGGGCAAACTGGCTGAACTGGTTTTAGCCAAAATAGTGCAGGTTAGATTTGTAGTTCAGGAGGCCAGAGAATTCCCCTTGTTCCGGTTTGAGAGCTGAACTGTACCGCCTCGAACAGAAATGAGACTGGTTCTGTTCTGTTTCTTATGCCTAGTACAAGGCTCAGCTCATGTTTGTGTTGGTTTGTCACTATGCGTTTCAAATATCTTTAGAATACACACCTACCAATCACCACTCACAAATTTCTAATGTTAGGGAGGCTGCCAATCGCAGACGGAATCGATTCAGTGAGCTGGTTGCTGTCAAGCCACCTGCACATACAGAATGACAGCAATGGTGAATGACAGCATTGGTGAATGACAGCAAACCGTGAATGACAGCAACCGTGAATAACAGAAACCGTGAATAACAGCAACCATGAATAACAGCAACCGTGAATAACAGCAACCGTGAATAACAGCAACCGTGAATAACAGCAACCATGAATAACAGCAACCGTGAATAACAGCCACCGTGAATAACAGCAACCGAGAATAACAGCAACCGTGAATAACAGCAACCATGAATGACAGCAACCGTGAATGACAGCAACCGTGAATAACAGCAACCGTGAATGACAGCAACCGTGAATGACAGCAACCGTGAATGACAGCAATGTTCCGATGGTACATTATCCAATGATGTGCCCATGGTTGAACGCTGACATGAATGCGTCCTCATGGAGTATTGACAGAGGCTGGCTGGTTCCTGTATTTCTTAACTACCCACCGTCATCAAAGCATCTGTGCAACAATGCTATACTTCCTTCCTCCTTCTAATCACCCCCAGCCAGTGTCATTCTGGGTGCATGGGGCTTCTGGACGCATGAGTATTCAACTCACAGCTCCTGGAGATCTGTGAGTGCGGAGAAGCTCTCTGGGATGGGCCCTGTCAGCTGGTTCAGCTTCATATCCCTGCCACAGAGAGAGCAGACAAATGGGACAACCAGGGATAATATGTAGGATATAGTATGAGGGAGAACAGCCTAAGGATATAGTCTACATGAGGATGTTTTATAAATCGAGAGGGTTGATTCAGGATTGGTTGCGTAGGTGTATCAGGGCGAGACGGGAACAAACTGGGTACTGGTAGTCAGGACTAGAAAGCTTATTGCTCGTTCTAGAAGGGCTTACAGGTAGGTGAGCCAGGTTAAGGAACTGAATTGCGATGGGATGGAGTCTGACAGCTCATTACTGGCCAAGTTCCTACAGGCAGCAGGGGCACAGGGGAGAGGGTGGTAACCAATATGAGAATGGGGTAGATGTGCAGCGAACCCTAATCCAAATGTTTGTTGATAACCCGAGTTTGCTTGACCCAACGCGTGTGCACTTGGGCACGGGTTGACTTCACTGTAAACATCTGGTTTGCACTGCATTTCCAGCACTAGTTTCGAGACTTTTGTTGCAGAAGCCTCAGTCAAGCATAATCAGAATGAGGTCTTAAAGTTTCTGGAGAATCCCACAAATCAGAATATCCTGAAAAAATCTCACATAGAAAATGTACACTGTGTATTTCATGGATGCCTTTATGGCTCTTACAATCTCTCAGCTCTAAGACAGCCATGGTATGGTATGGTAGGACACCATCCAAGTGCATATGTTAGGCGTTACAAAGATGATGAGCCGCAAAAAGGTTTGGGGAAGAGAGGCATGCAAAAGGTGTGTGCTGGGCCTTACAAAGTCATCAAAGTTCATCAGTTTCAATTGAGATAGATTTACCCTACACACACCAGGACTCACATATTTTCCAGGTCTGTAAGGGTGCTGATAGAGGAAGGGATTGAGTCGGAACGCTTGTTGTTGCTTAAATCCCTGTGTTGTTGATGAAACATGCACGGGAAAGTGACAGAAGACGGATGAGACAAAGGAAGTACATTGGTTTCTAGTGTCATAACCATTGCGCCTGCAAACAGAAAGACTGAAGGGGGTGGGAAAAGTGACGCAGCTGCCATGAGTTTCAGTTAAACAGGCAGACGGGGAAGAAAACATGGAAAGGGAGGGAGGAATAAGGGAGGACTGTGTATGATGAACAGAGAGCCGATGTCAGAACTTTAGCTGGGATTTGTGAATAAATCCAGCTAAACATAGGCGTTTTATTGTTCTTTTGTAGTTACATATATTTATCATATCAACTGGCTGCTTAGAAGTAATATATTTCTGGAGAAATGCCAGTGAGATTAAGCATTATAACCAATGAGCTACATGGCATGCTTTGAGAAAGAAATATGGACGTGAGTGAAAGACATAGATATTGGTGATAATGGGTGGTAGTATAAGCTTCGACAACAAAAACAAAACAAAAACGGTGGTGGTACTGGAATGCAAGAAAATTGTATGAAGCACAAGAACATGAAAACACTTAATTAAACACTTGATGGAGAGCAATGAGTAGACTCAATGTGCGGAGTAAGCGTGGCTGCATATCTTATAAAGAGATAAAGAAGAATGAATCAGGGACGAAGGGAAGGATGTAGGGATGAGAAAGGGCAGAGAAGGGCCTAAGACAGGGATCTTGAGAAGTCTGAAGCAGAAAGAAAGAAAAACAAAAGACCTGGATGGAATAACAGACCGGTGCTGAACAGCAACTCAACATAGGGAACGTGTAAACAGGAAACGATGAACAATAAGGGTGTACGATCAGAAACAATACCATGGCGATAGAGAATCATAGTAGAAACAAAAGGAGTTCAGATGCACCTACCTCTCACATTCAAGCTACACCCTCACATCCAATCACGTTTTTCAGACTAAATATGTGTCCAATCTCACAAGGTAATCAGACAATCTAGTTTGCTGATGCTAGCAGGGATGCTGTCGTCCAACTGGTTGGAAGAAAGATCTCTGAAACGAGATCAAACGTGCAAGGATTAGCACACAATGGAAAGTGTTGATGGAAACCGGGAAAGCCATGATCAAAATGAGCAATGGAAGCAGATAAAGAAAGGTGGAAACAGAGTGAACAATGCAAATGGAATGGGAAAATGAAGTCAGAAAGCTTAATTACACAAAATAACTCGGACGGAAGTAAATCAGGGGACAAAGTAATTCAACTAGAATCTTCATTTCGGATGCTCCTTCATTGTTTGCCATGTACAAAAGTGGAAGAAGCTACAGGCCACAGCTATACAGCAGCATTCCACAATAGGGGTGCACGAACAGAATTTGTAGCCAGGACAACAGAGGATAGAGGTGGGAACACAACGAGTTCAGATACACGTATCTCTCACATTCCAGCCATTATTCGCAAATTAAAGTTGTTCCCACAACACATCAATCTTGCCAATCTCTCCGACCAATCTCACAAGATTCTCAGACTCTTTAGTTCACTGATGCTAGCAGGGATGCTGCCGTCAAACTGGTTGGAAGAAAGATCTCTGGTACAGGACGAAGCATGCAGGGTAGAACACAGAATAAAAGGTGCTGATGGCAAACGGGATAGCTAGGTTGGGGAATCAAGCAATGGAAATAGCAACACAGAGGCGGAAACAGAGTTAACAAGACTATAAAACACAGAACGTAAGCTGGAAGGATGTGAAGGATGCAAAGTGATTCAACCATAATATCATTCTGAATGCTCCTATAACCTTTGCCATGTACACAGGTGGATGAAGCTGCTGCAAGCCACAGCTGGCAGCGCGCCACACTATCGGTGCACGAACAGAGCCATGACAACAGAGAACGAAAATAGGAACATGAGGCTTTCACATGCACATATCTCTCATACTCTGATCGCGCTTGTCAATCTAAAGCTGTGCTCACAACGCATCAATCTTGCCATGCTCTCCGTCCAGTCTCACAAGGTTCTCATATCTGTTATGCTGCTGATGCTAGCAGGTATGCTGCCGGAAAACTGGTTGGAAGAAAGATACCTGGAACAAGATGAAACGTCCAATGGATAGCAGAGATTGGCAAACGGGAGAGCTCGATGTGAATTTGAGCCCAGCTGGGAGCGTTCAACTGCGATGAGGCGAGGTCATGAGAAATGGCAGCGATGAGGTTTCTTCTTTAAGAAAATGCTCAAATACAAGGGTGAGTAACACGGCGGACGAACTCAAGATATATTCGCCAC